GTGACATTAATTCCTTGAAACCTAATATGAACAAAAAGTTGAAAACACTAAACTTAACCAACCTCTCAACACTATGTATAAATTAATTTTGGAATGTTTTAAAGTCTTTTTTAAATTTCTTTTACAGTACTTGTCTAACAATGCACACACACTTTTATTTTTTAAAAAGCTCAAACATACATTAATTTTTATTCTAAAAGTTGGACCCTATTTCACCAATAACATTTAATGATAACCACTAAACACTTAATCTATTTATTTTTCACATACATTTTTGAATCAATACTTTGCTATACCACTTGTGTAATAAATAGAATACTTCTAAAGAAAGGTGAAAAAAACTATTTCTTTGGAATGATTAATGTTAGAAAAATTGCCCAATCTATATTAAACTATCAACAAATATATCTTGCTCTACAAAAAATTTAAAAAAAAGATATATTATAGAATTTTTTTTACCCACTGAGACTATCAAGAACAAGCAGTGAAATGCACCCACAAAATATCAAGACTTTTGTTATTATCCAACTTTTACTTCATTAGTGAAAAAACTGAGTTGTCAAATTATGTCTAAATTTTAAAATACCGAGGAAGCTTGCATAACTTCTTTATTGGCTTCAATACGTTCCAATACTTATGAAAGTATGTTAATACCAATAAATTAATTTAACAATAGAAAAATGATGTGATTATACTTTAAATCAATAAATCCAAGAAAAGTATGATTATAATAAATATTAAAATTTTTTAGAATTATGGGGTTGAATTTACTTATTTTCTCAATCTTCCATTATATTCTAACCTTATCATCTTATTCTCTAAGAGAATTTTAATTATTGCTAAGAGCAATGTAACTTTAAATTTTTTAAAATTAAATCTGAAAGGCTCATGTAAAAAATATATGTTTGATGTTGGAAAAATATGAACATGTTTAGTTACCCGCATTTTTTTTGAACTGTTATTAAATCACTTAATCTCATTCAGCCTTTGATACAATTTACATATAAAAACTAGCAGTTTCTACAACTTTCAACTCAAAAAATACATTCAAAAGTAAATTATTTCTAACTACCCTACAAAATTCAAGATGATTTTTTTTTGTAGTTAAGCACAAAACTAAACAATGGGCTATATGTGCTGTACCTAACACAGGTATCAAAACCCAGTTTTTAGTGTTATAAGCCCTGAGACTTACTGCTGAGCCACTGGAGGTAGAATTCCAAATAAATCCTAACAATTTTATAAAATGAGCAAGCAAAAACAAACTATTTCCCTTCTGTCATATAATAACTGTGAAATAGATTAAAATTCATTTTTTTTTATTCCATTAAGTCCACAGAAAATCTCCTGGTACATTAAGAGATCTGATAAAATTACTACCTTTTATAGGGACTTCTGTGTGCTGGAGACTTGAAAGTTGCATGATCCCTTGTCAGGCAGTGATGATTAGGAGTGTGAAATATATTGGAACTTGGAGCTTTTTTAGAACGAACTGGATCTTTTGAAAGAGAAAAGCAAATGTTTTTAAAATAAGAATAATAATGCCTTCTTTAACCCATTCATGGCAGCTGGTACATATATGGCCTCAACGTCTTTTTTTTTTCTGTTCACTGCATTTACTCAGAGTCAATGTTGTCTGCTAAATCTGTAATATAATCTGGATTTTCCCCAGCACCTACTACTACTACAGCAACAAGATGTTGTACAGACCTCTCTGACACCTTAAGGGAAACTGACATAGAAAAGATGGAAGTAACTGACTTATTGTACAATAACATGTAACACAATGTCAATAGACAACATTACCACTAAAACTTTTTGATTCAACACCTTGCACAGGAAATTTTAAAAGTAAGAATCCATTCATATGTATACCAAGCACAGTGAATGGGTTAAATAGCAATGCACCACAATGTAACACATTTTAATTCAGCTCTGACAATTTAAAAGGTAACCAGTTACTTTCCTAAATCTATGAACCATCATGTTCTGTATCAAAACATCTTATCCTGGTATGAATATGATACTGGTAATCTTAAAACTGTCCAATGAAAACATCTGTTCGTATACTCCTTAGAAGGCATATCTTTGTGCAATGTAATGTATTAATGTATAATTACTATTACATAAATTTGAAATTAGCTTATTAAACTCAATTATTAGAAATTTTATTTTTATAAATAAAACATATTGCAATTATCCAGCTACAACAGTCTGATATTGTGTATATGAATGTACACACAGGTATAAGCTACATCACAGACACAGTTAAAACAAGAGGGAATTCTCAATAGCTGCAGCACTTGAAATTAATTTAGGCAGGATTAGAGTGAATTCATCTACAAGACCTTTTTTCTCTTTATTTATTAGCTATACTTTTGTGCACCAGCAGTACCAAGCATGGTGTGCATGTGTACCAGATTCAATATTATTACTCATCAGGATCTCTATCAGCTGACTCTAAAGTTTAAATTCTTTTAGGCAGGATTAGAGTAAATTAATCTACGAAACCCTGAGCACAGACAAGTACATCAATTGAAAGGGTTTGACTTCCTGAGTCCAAAACCATAATTAGATCTCAAATCGGTCAAGAGATGACGGAGCTACGAGCTAAATGTTTGTATTTGAAAAAGAACTCGGAGCCATTCTACGAGCCGCTATGCTGTGCCTAAAAATGTGAACACCATAATTCAAATAAATATTAATTTTTTTTTTTTTTAGAAGCTACTTAGATAAAGCAACATTAAATATTCTACTCTTTATTTTGACAAACATTTTCTGTGACTGGGACATTTTCACTAAGACATAAATTACTTTTATGACAGACCTACAAACATAATTTTATTATTTTATGTTGATTATCTTTTTGTGTGTAATTATATTTTTGAATGGAGATATTTTTCCACTATTATTATACTACATAACAAAGCACATCCTCTAAATAATACAGGTCATATCACAGACTCTCAAGTCTTAATTGTAACTTGGTACTTTACAGTTAACCAAATGTGCAAGGGATCAGTCAGTTGGACTAACCCTGTACTGGAGAAGGAATGTTCATTATAATTCTGAATTTACTACTTGTATCTAAAAAAAATTTGGCAAGCTTTTATTAAAATATACAAGTCTATTTACACAAGATATGTCTGTAAATTGACATCACTCTGACTTAAAGTGCAAGGTGATGTTTATAAAAATCCTTTTGTCCATTGTACAGTTTGCATACCATATTTGCATCACCTCTAGAGGCTCTAAAAAGGATATCTCCAGCTTTTTTTTTTTAGTATCTCTGTACTTTGTATCTAGTATTAACTCTTTTTTACCATGAAATGTTGCTAAATTTGCATTGTAGGATAAAAAAGGACAGTAAATAACTCCAACATCAAATGCATAATACTCTGTTCAATGGCACTCTGTAAAAAGTCATGGTATGCACACTTTCACCCCACAGATGCACACAGGGTTTAAGAGACATAATGGTATTTCTTGCATTAAAGTGACTATGAATATCAATTTTCTCTTGTAATTTTCCAAAGTTACAGAAAAAATCAAAAGACATGGTGTGATGGATGGAAGTTTGGGATTCCCCAGACAAGAGGTAGGTAAAAACAAAATCACTGAAACTTTGGCAAGGGTTGCATAGATCTTCGATGGGGCCCAGTGGCAACACTGAAGTGGGGAGGGGAGTGGGTCAGAGTTGTTCAGAAAGAAATATGCATACTTTATCTCTTCCAACTTTTCAAAGTCGTGTTTTTTTCTAATCATTCCAATTAGATACTATCAGAGATTGTAACTCCCCACTTGTCACATTTTGTTACAAAAATAAAACTAGTGAGTGAAATTGTTTGAATTTTAACAAAAACCTTTCCTAATAGTATGTAGTTTTAGAAAAAATAAAATATTCTTCACTTTTTTTTACTATTTCTAATAAATGTTCATTATTTCATTTAGTTATTTGGATTTAAACTCTGAATAGTTCACTGGAAAGGTCAATTTTACATAAGGTATAAAATACTATTTTAATCTTATGGTTTTCATATTTCAATTGTGTAATTTCTAGAACCTCAAAGTTTTTAATTAAGGTTAATATTTATATTTTATTTTCCCATTTTCTCTACTATATAACTAATTATTATCAACATACAGTGCAATGAAATTTAATATTAACAAATGGAAATATGTATATACCTTTCAACTTATAAAAAAAATCATTAAACCGTTCAAATATGATTTTTAAAACACACAATACATAATTAACTAACATATAAAAGTATGACCTAAACACAGTTTAACTGTCTCTCCATATAACATACTTACATAAAAAAAACACTAAGTGCTACAGTTGATCAAGAAGACAACAATACTACAGGCAGTACTACTTCAATATGAAAATTGCATGTCAATTTCAAATTAACCATTGGTGGATTACAGTGCATACTGAGCTCTTTTTTAATGACCAGATTTGGATATCACATGTCAAATAGGTCAAAAACATGCACTTAGCAACTGCATACTCCTGACCATTGACATCTTATGTGGCTAAGAGTGAACCACTGCTAAGGTCAAGATTTTTTAAAGCATGTGGATCATGTGACATAAAAAACTACAGTTTAAGTATTGTTTTGAAAGGTTTCCTTTGAAACAAAATAATCAAACTTAGATTACGTAAAAATTCAAATTATAACATATAAAATAATGTTAATTTCATTAACATATATTGAAAGCAAAGTGGTTTGATTAAATTTTGAGTGTAATGCAGTACATACAAAGAAAGAAATTTAAAAATGGTGCTGGGCACCAAAGGGTTAACTGATTTGTTGATGTCTTTAAATATTGATTCTGAGCATTCAACAACACACACTGGTCATTTTATCAAGACACTTTATTCTTCCGAGGAGAAACATAAGTGGGTATTTATAATAAAATATACAATTCAGATGCTGTTGTTCATGTTAATGTAATTTATGTGCTTTGTTATTGTCTAGTTTGGTGTAATTTATGTTTGCATATAATTACACAGCTTTACAATCAGAACTTTGTAACTTAATTTTGGATATTATTTATGAATACAAAAAATATTTTTTTAATCTGCTAATTTGTGCTTCTTGAAAGTTTTTTTAAGGTGTGCACATTTATACAAGACCAAAACATGCATATCCATAGATCTGCAGAAAAGCTACATGTCTGTATAAGTAATCAGATGCTTAAGTAGCCGGTTGTGGGAAAGCAATATTATTTAATTATTGAGATTAGTCTAACACTGCATGGGTTATCACCTGATAGAGTTACTTAAATGTCAGTCATGATATTTCCTTGAGCTTGACCAAAAATGATGCTTGTATTACTCGGCTCCAGTAGCACTTTATTTTTGGTTATTTTAATTGTTTAAGACATTGATGAAATAATGCTGCTCAACATTATAATGAATGAGAAAATAACTACCTATATAAAATAACAGAACTTGGACCAACTGGATATTATTATTAGTGAGAAGAAAAAAAAACACCAGTACACCACACAGCTCTATGAATGCTACATTTTAAGTTAGTAAAACAGTTACAGCCTGACTCAGGGTTCAATCCAAGAAAAAATACTAAATGATTGATACGGAAACAAAAACTTTGAATATTTTAACATTTGTAAAACGGTTACATATTAAATCATAATATTCACTATTTTGAGTTTTTAAAAAACATGAAATGTTGCAGAATCATTTTGACTATACACTTACATATTATATCTGTGTATCACTTAGTCATGCAATATGTAACATCCATTTCAGCTACACATACATGTAAGACTGATCTTTAGTAAGTGATGTTATGAACTATGAAGTGTGGAAATATATTTTGTTATTTTCAGTTTAAGTGAAGCAATTTCACATGCTTTAACTTTATATAGTTCAAATTACTGTTTTAATAGTATGATGGTTACAGATGATATATATTATCTACTGGCATTGCACAGTGTTAAATTTTTAGTTTCATCACTCAGTATTTTCTATAAAAACCTGTGTGTGCACTTAGTTGTAGAATTCTTAATGGAAATTTTATATAATTCTAGTATATCTTAATACTTCCATTTCCTTATTATTAAGCAAAATTAGCAAGCTTCAATGAATAATTGTTGTTTTGGCAAATCAAATTTTAATCTTGATCACTTGTAAGAACCCTGTGCGAGGTAGAAAAGAATGTATTTTCATCTACGGCTTGCATGAGAGCCAAGAATATTTTTAATACAGAAAAAGATGCCAGTGCTGGTTGAGCTTCATTCAGCAGTGCAATTTTCTTTGGCATTTTGGCTATTTAAATTTCAGAGTCAGTGGTCAATTTATCCAATAACATATATTAGCTAGATTATGTCTATTATATGATGAATTATCAATGTAATGTCTCAAGGTTTGGCTGTCACTTACCAATTGGGAACTGAAATCTATCCGTTACAGGTTTTTTCTTTCGTAAATAATACTTTTGGGGCTGGGAAATATCATCATCCTGATAGTCTCCTCCTGTTCCATATATAAGACCAAGGTAAGAAGCAAGTTTAAAATTGGACTTAAAGCATAATAACAGAAACTACCTGAAGAACATTTTGTTGAACAACTATCTAAACTAAAATAAAAGTTACAATTGAAACTTTGAACTCTTTTGTAACATGTTTAGTTACTGCATAAAATAAGCTCCTGATACTCAAAGTAAAAAATTTTGTGCTTAAAATTCTAATGTGCATAAAAGTATTTCAAATGAGAAATGTACAAAGTAGTATTTCAAGTTCGAGGAAAAACAGATGAGCAAAAAGCACAGAATATATAACAGAAATGTTGGATATAACTTACACAAATTGTATTAACATGGAAACAATTTACAAATATATACAACTTATTCAAATTATATAAAAAAAACACTAATGTAAGCAAGGAATGTATAATGACATATTTGAGCATTTGTAAGCAAAAATGTGTGCAAAATAGTCTACAGAACACTTCTTTGTATGCTAGTGCTAACTGCTTCTAAAAACAAAACATACATAAAGTTAATGAAAACAATTATTGTAATTTAGTTCTAACAGGTTGTTTTTTCAAGACAGTATTACTGTTTGTTTGTTGGATTTTGCATAATGCTATTCAAGGATTACTTGTGCTAGCCTTCCCTAATTTTGAAGTGATAGAGTTGTTAACACTATCCATTACCAAATCTTGGGCTACTCTCCACCAACAAATAGTGGGATTTACTATCACATTATAATACCTTTACAACTGAAGGGGCAAGCATATTCAAAGATAAGAGTTCAATGTCTTGACCCACAGATTATGAATCAATTACCCTAACCACCAACATTACTGACAAACAGAAGATTCAAATCAGCAGGTAAATCAGTATCCAAATAGTGTAAGCAGTACATTAATTTCAAGTGTTTCAACAAGTTGCAATGAACTGAATAACTAATATAATTTGACTGAAATTTGGTACTGGATTATTTCTTGAGAAATCACTCAGACTTTAGTAAATAGAGATTAATAACTTATATTTTAATTTTATACATATAAAATGTTCAATAATCCATTTGTTACAAATAGCGAACTTCAAAAGAACTTCTTAAGTTCATTTCTACACAAAATTATCCATCCAAAAATAATCACAATTACAAATACTACTATATATTCTATTCCAATCTAATTAAAAATTCAATTACTCAAAAAAAAAAACTAGAACAATTTGGCAAACTTGAACATATAATCAAATTTTTATATTAAAAACACAACATAAACATCTTTATACCTTGATACAATAAGTGATTGAACAATAATGGCATTCTACTGCATATCAATATTAAAGTACATACAACATTTATAAATTGCCAAATAAAAGATTTTTCTTTCCTGTGGTAATTTTTATCCTTGCTGTAGCAAAATGTTATCACTAAGAAATTATAATAATTTTATCCACCTTTTAAATTATAATACATGGTGTATCTTTAATCTCTTAGATATAATGTTAAATAACATTAATAAAGCTTTTCTGTACTAAAGTTACAGAATACATGCTTTATGTATCAGAATTCATACTTCTGATAAACTGAGACACTGTTGATGATAAATTGTAAAGCCATTATTCCTCTTATCTGTTCTGGTTTATCAGAAAATTTAATTTTTTCACACACAATGTTTCAACTTGCATGATATATTAAAAAAATATATATATTTTTCTTAGAGTCACCTGTTGAATAGTGAACCTTGCCAAGCTCCATATCAAATCTCTCTTGAAGCCACTATACATAACTGTCTTTTATTTATATATAATCAAGTAAGTTACTACAGCACACATTTGTTATATACTCAATAAACTTGGACTGCCACAGCAATACATACATTGCCAATTTCAGCACTAACCTTCTGACTCACTACCCTCTTCATTTTCTTCATCTTCTTGCTGGTCAGTGTCTTCTGTGTCTGCCATGTTGGCAATCTCATGCTGTTCATTTTGGTATAGCCTACGATTTGCTTTTTCTCTCTGTCGTTTAACTCTTGAATACATGTCTTCAAATTCCTATGTCATGATTAAAAGTATCAGATTTACAATAAATATTTCTAATAATAAAAATAGAAATACAGGCCATAGGTTGGTTAACTTTTGTTACTTTTCTATCTCAAAACCAAGTCGTTCTATTATACACAAGGAACATGTGGACAGACACTGAATTTTATGAAATATTAATCCAAGTATAGTACAATAATAGTGAGTGTGATTATACAAACTCTATTAACTTTCATGAATACTGGTTATCAATTTACTTTTACAAAATCTGATTTATTAGCTATGTAGTATTTGCTTTTTAAATTGAAGTATAAATAATGTACAATATAACCAGAATTTAAACAGTATATTTGGCATACCACACTGGCTGAAGTAAGGCCCAAACGACGTAGTTCATAGCTTCGCCTAACAACCCCATTTTTACTTTTTGTCATTGGATTTTCTTCTCTTCTGTCAGTAGAGAATAAGGCATCAAGTTTGGTAAGCTCAGGAATGCCAGATGTCAAGAGCCATTTCTGATTTAGATTGTCATATAACAATTTTTTCTGACGAGTACTGCGACGAACACCTGTCTCACCATCCAAATCAACATTCATAAACCTGGTGTCATAAGAGTGACCAAAGCTATCAGCTGAAGTTTCAATTTCTTTAGCTTTGTGAAGTTCACAATCAGATTCTCTGTGTTGTCTCTGCTGCGAGTGCCGAGTGGTTTGCTGTTCTGAAAAGTTCAACTTTTTAAATAACCCGACTAAAATTATGCATTTTTTTAATTACATATTTACAAAGAACTGCATGTAATTTGAATACACAGATTCATATATTCATGTTCAACTTCCATGAAATGCTAAAAGAAAAATGAAATTTCTTGGGCATAAAAAAATTCTTATCAACTAATATATTATTGTAAATTATTTCAACCCTTTTACAGAATCATACAAGTATCTGATGAAGATGAGTCTACTGAAAATTTGTTGAACGTGATTCAAATTCAAATCTAAACTTGTCAGAACTATACATAATTTAAGAATATCTATTTGTCTCAATCCTTAGTCAAATCCTAATGAGTTGAAACTTAAAAACTTCAAATGAGACAATTCTACTTTGCTAAAAAAAAACTACAGAAACTACAAAACAGTTTGCATAAAGTATTTCAACAAACAATTACATAAATCTCTTCACAATTGTAAAAGCAACTGCAAAACAGTCCAATACTTTTAATAAAATATGTTCACTGAATCTAATTCAATGCAAACATGTACACTTTTAAAAACGTATTACAAATATTTAGGTATAAAGGCACTGTAGACATATCAACTAAGTGAAAAGCACTTTCAACACTAGAAATTTAACCCAAGACATCAAGTTGACACTAGAATTTTGAGACAGATGATCAACTCTTTGAATGTAGGTCTGGGTGTATCACACCCAGTATGTAACCACGAGAGTAGTCATACTATAACTTTTGATAATGTAAATGCATCTTCATGAACTTTTGCAAATTATCAGTAAATGTTACAAGGCTTTCGTACACAAAAATATCAGGTTTCAATTAATTATTAAAGATTTGCTCATAAATTTTTTCTTTCAGAATGTTGACTCTCCACCATGCAAAGTAAGTTTGATTTTAAAATTCAAAATATTTTTTTCATATGTAAATTGTCAAATTTCATTTGCATAATCTCTATAACCTCCTAAATAACTATCAAATAATTAAGTTAAGTAGTACTTTGTGCTATCTACAGATATTGTAACAATTAACAGCTTTATAAGCACAAATTAAGTATTGAAGAATAAACACAAATTTACATAAATATGAAGATGATTAGTTTCGAGGTACCATGTGCATAATTTTTGAAAATGACACACGTGCTATGTCACGACTAGTTGGGTAATCATCTTCATATTTATGTAAATTTGTGTTTATTCTTCAATACTTAATTTGTGCTTATAAAGCTGTTAATCTTCACAACTGTCAAATGCTTTTTTAGAAAAACTTTATACTTATCATTTATTTTCTTTATATTAACTCTATATGGGGTTGGTCAATTTGACTGACCTCGTAAGGACTATAAAAAATTTGGAAATGAATATAAATAACCCGTTTTTCGTTCTAGAATGACTGCAAATTCTAACAAGAAACCACAAGTGTTTTTTTTTTCAAAATAGCTTAAATCTCGTAGCAGTATACATCTATTTACATTTATAATTTTGTTTATTGACCTTTGAACTGCATCTAACTAATAATACCTCCACAAAAGCTGTAAATCATGCAGAGCACGTGCAGCTCAAGTTATCGTGTCAAATAGCATAAAATTGGCCTTTACAAAGTACAAATGTCTTACTCTTCTTAGTCTTACAACACATTACATATGTATATGTATATATTATTACTGTTTACAAATAAATTTTAAACTTCAATTAAAACACAGAACAGTAAATAAAAAACAATGATCTCTACTACTTATGATGTTATAAAGGTTTTTTTTGGTACTTGCACGTCATACTTGCAAAAGGCTCGTCAAATTTCATGTACAGAAGATGTAAAAATAAATTTTGTAGGTTTATATATATCCATTTTGAAGGAAAAAAATATATAAATTAATACACCACAAAATTCCACAGTAATTTATTAGGCTTCCTAACTAAGTTTGATTTGGGTCTAAAAACTCTCATTTGTGATCAACATACTGCCAATCTTAAATACTTTAGGAAGACTGGCAGAATTACAGTTTAAAATGAGCATTTTTGATTGTTTATAAACAAGTAACTGAGAGAAGTAGGCACAGGTAAATAAGTATTTTTAAAAGAGGAAGATATGGGCAGAACCACTGTGGTGGATTCCCTAAATATAATGACAACTCAGCAAACAGAAAAGCTAGGAAGTTCTTATTTTATATTCTAATATGTCAATATTGGTAATTTGAGTTTCTAATACATTAAAAACTGTACACTTTACAATTCCCACGGTGCTATCTGAGCAAATACAGAAGACAATGTACCATGTGACACATACACACACAAAAAAAAAAATCAATATGAAAAACTGATATATAGCAATTTTTTAATATTTACTTTTGAACTAAGAAATTAAATAAAATATAATACTAAAATTTCAATTACAAACCACAATTTCATTTCAAAGTTATGGACATACATTCATAAAATAGTAATTTAATAAAATTCTGAATGTAATTCTACAAAACATGATGACGTGCTCTAACCCTGACCCATATGGTAAAGGTTAGTGTTGAACAGCACTTACAATAGTATTTATGTTATACGAGAAAAAAATTACCAGAAAACTCCAACACAATTAACCCTTTGGCTGTCTAGGCCATTTTCCCTTCTGCATATGGTACAACATTACATTCAAAAACTAATTAAACTACCTTACTACCAATGAAATTAGTATTATAGTGTTATAATTTGAATTTATGTTATCTAAGTTTGAATTCCTTTTTTTCAAAGAAAATGTTTAAGAAAAAAATACTTAGAAACTGCAGTTTTTGTGCCACATGATCCACACACTATGAAAAATCTCCATTTTAACAGTTGACATATCAGCATAAATAATAAAAGACAAAGAACTAAAAAGGAAAATTAAAAATAGACTGTAAATGAAACGATAAAGATGTGGAATTACACATATTAAAAAAAACAAGTTTTAAAAGACTTGTACAAAGAGCTAAAAAGTATGTACATATTTCCATTTCTTAATTTTAAATGTTTCATTGCATTGTACGTTGATGATAATAGGCATAGTTCAGGGGTTGGCAACCTGCAGCTTTTGAGCTGAATGCGGTTCTTTAAGGAGATTTGTGCAGCTCTTGGGCTTTACTCTTACTGTGAAGTTGAGAATCTTTCAGACAAAATAGGTGTTAAAAAATTTAATCTCAACATTTGCCGTGTGGAATCGAACCCATGATTTTAGCATTGTAAATCTGGAAACTTGCCACTATCCCACAGGGGGACCTCTTTTTTGTTTTTTGAGGTTAAACCATTAGGGCATACTGTGGCTCTCAAGATGTTTTGGTCTTAGACAAATAATGGCTCTTCTTCTTTGAAAGGTTGCCGATCTCTGGTATAATTAGTGATACAGTAGGGAAAAATGGAAATAATATATATAATAATAATAAAATGATATTCATTTAGGAGGTTCTAGAGATTATGCAAATGAAATGTGAAAACTGTAAGATAATAAATAATATTTTTAGGCTTGAAAAAAAAAATCACCTTGCAGGTAAAACATTCAGAGTCCATGTGCAAATAACTACATTAATAACAAATTTGTTCATTAGATTTTATTATTCTGAAAATACATACTTTTAGGAATGTTTTTGTCAAATTTTAAACAATTTCATCCACTAGTTTTATTTTTGTAAGAAATATGAAGAGATCAACATTACCTTCTAAAAAAATTAGAAGCCAACAGCCGAAGGGTTAATCCAGTTTACCGATTTTTCAAAAGAGATCCGATTCCTCAACACAGCTTTAGTGAGATTTGCTAATTTATTAATCATCTGGCTCATTAATTAGTTATATTCAACTAATTAAAAATAGATATTCTTTTAAGTGACAAAAGTCATTAGTGAAGACAGACTCTGGGACAGACATGAATGCAAGACTTCTAGCTAACAAAGCCCCTACTCCAATTAATGAAAAACCCAGAAGTACAAGCAGTCTCTGTCAATGAGCATGATCACCATACTACGTTATGATAGGTACAAAGGTCATATCACAAAACTTTATCAAAGTTTTACAATTATATATTAACATTTTATAAGAAAATCATAGTAATATTGCTATCTCATAATTAATAATAAGTGAAAAGGGACTTCAGGAAATGTTTTCTTTTGAATTACTCACATAGGATAATAATCTTTTTTTTTAAACTCCTGGAAAGTTTCAACCTTTACTACTCTAGATATAAATTTGTTCCACTAACGTACAACCCTATTACAAAAATAAAAATGCGTAATTGGAAATGTGTATGACCTTTCAAGATCTTAAATTTATATCTTGTGAACCATATTATAAAGTTAAATTCAGTTATGTGTGTGTCATGTTTTCCTTATATTTTATTTTATACTATAGATAGTAAAACACTTAATAATTTTTTATTTAATCAAATAATGCACCAAAGAATATAGACTAATAACATGCAAAAAGTACACAAATCCACTTACCTCTCAAACTATTCCTTGCTTTCTAAGTATGCGAAAAAAAAACATTACAAATTCATCCAAGCTAGTCGTTAACTTTCCCACAGGAACAAATCTTGTACTGTGAGTGAAATTTACAATATTCTGTTCAGAATACAACATTATACAATATGTCATTTGATAGATGAAAGCTTTGACTTTCTATTGCTTATAGGTAATATATATAATGAAAAGTAAGAGAACTATCAACAAATTGTGAAAGAGAGGATGTGACAGGTGGGATCTGATTTTCTATTCGATAGCTATGTAACTAAACAAAATTGAAGGCTATAAAAATTATGGTTTGTTTGAGCAATAATAATTTTATATAGAGTATTTTTTGTTTAATTTTGTACCTTTTCAGGGGGGGGTGAATAAAATTGGGATGATGACATGCTAAGAGAAAATATGTCACGTGTGTCACACTAGTGAAAATTCCGGATTATTTTACAAATTGCCTTCTAGAATTAAGAACTTAAAACTTGTAAATTATTAAAATATATGTATTATTTGCTAAGATTTTATGCTATTCTAATTGGTATAACATAAACAAAAAGTAGTTTAATAAAATGTTTAATCTAAGACACTAAAACCTTGTGTCATGAGCAGTAAAGGGTACCTGGAGTGATTGGGTTAAACATACTGTTTATTTCTAGTTACTTTCAACTACATTTGCATCAACAGGTATACATACATACATACATACATACATATATATATATATATATATATATAT